AAAAAAAAAAAAAAAAAAAAAAAAAAAAAAAAAAAAAAAAAAAACAACTACAAGCATTAATATTAATACTATTAAAAAAACCCACAAAATAATTAAAGATGGCCACACATTTCATTCATGCATCTTATCTATAAAGTCCATTTTTTTAAAATAAAAATACTATTTAGTGTAATAAAAAATGTATCTTGTTCCTGATATAGTTTTATATGCTCATGTTTATCTTTGTCTCTGCTCTTTAGACCCAACATTTTTTTTTTATTGTGACAGCAAAACATTATTCATAGCAGTAAGCAAAAAGGCTTCAATGACTGCATATGAAAAAAATCTGTTTCTACAAGTAAGGGACACAAATCCAGACTCACATGCGTTTCCGTTTGATCCTGCTTTATTTTGTCCTCAATTTCTGTCTTAGTGGTGAAGCTTCATCAACATTTCCAACTCCTTTGTCTTTGTTACTAATTGTGTAAAAAACCTGTAACTACAACTTTGACTGAAATTTGCAGCCACCTAACTATCAAAAGGTCAGCATCATAATGTTGTGTAATGAAGAAACAGTCCATATTTCAGTTACTTCAATTCACACAACAGACAGTTGAAACTTTGTCACAAGAGGGCGTTTCAACAGGACAGTTAACACAAAAACACATCAAAACTGGTTTGAAAGAGGACAACATTGGTTATTATTTTCCCTTTATTTTTTTTCTGTTTTTAATTTTTTTCTCAGATACTCAAATGTCCTAAATCATCAAACAAAATAAAACAAACAAAAAATTGTTCTTATTGTTGAATCAGGAAATCTGATCTCAGTGTTGCAATACCTTTGATGTTATTCTGGTTTATTTTGTGACTCCTGGTTGAGTTAGTGGGTAATTCTGGTAGGGTGGCCACCCCTGTGAAGGTTTATTCCCAATATAATCACATTTGTGGACAGTAGGCATCACTGTGCTTTACTCCCAAAGCCTTAGAAATGGCTCTATAACTCGTTTCAGAATGACACACATTATATAGATTAATTACACACAGATTGATGTTTGCAAGTTTTTATGTTAGTTCATTTTGATGCTTTTCATTTTATAGCTAACATTTCTTAAAAGATTAAAATATAATACCAGACCAAATAAATAAAGGAATGTGGGCTGAATGAAAGTATTCTTACTATCTGCTTAAATGTTGTTATTTTCAAAAAGTCTGATTAAAATGCCTCATCATTCAATCTATTGAATCTGTAAACACTTCACTTAACTGACTAAAGCTTTTCAAAAACACCTTCAGGTTATTTCAGATTAAACTCATTTATTTTTTGATTCTACCTTATGCTCTTGAGATAGTCCAAAATGAGTACAAAGAAGGTATGACAAATAGTTTGTAAAAGGTGAATTCTCTTAAACTGTTGTGTGCCTACAAGTAAAAATCTCATCAGAATGTAACCTTGTCCTTTTCCCATAGTAAGAATATTTCACATCACTCTGAGTCCTT